AAAAAATAAAGGCTCAGCACCTATAGCTCAGTGGTTAGGGTGCCAGCCACATACACCAGAGCTGGCGGGTTTGAACCCAGCCTGGGCCTGCCAAACAACAATGACAACTACAACAAAAAAATAGCCAGGCACCATGGCAGGTGCCTGTAGTCCCAGCTACTTGGGAGGCTAAGGCTACAGAATCACTTAAGCCCAAGAGTTTTAGGTTGCTATGAGCTATGATGTCATGGCACTCCTTTGAGGGTGACAAAATGATACTCTGTCTCAAAAGAAATTTTAAAAATAATAATAAATAATAAATTAAAATATATTGAGTATACACTGTATAACTTCATACAGTGAGAACAATAAAGTATAGTATTTTATGTTCTGGTACCATCAACTAATCCTTTTTTAGTTAATTATGTAAATTTTTCTCTCTTCTAATACATATTATTTATTTCTTAACTGGTACTCTTTTATTATCACTACAGCAAATTAATACTTTATTTTTAGAGTAATATTGGCACAGCCTCAAATAACTTTTTTTTTTTTTTTAATAAGTTCACCTGCCAACAGGAAAACAAAAGGAACTACTGCCCAGCATTGGGGGAAATTCATCAAATTTGACTACCAGCATCTAATTTCTTCTCTTTAATCAAAAAGTATTATTAATACTAATTGAGAAGAGAAAAACCTGACATGTTTTTATTAATACCTGGCAGAGGCACAGGATCATCTTCATCATCATCAGGTGGGGGGGGTCCTGGAGGAGTTCTAGGTCCCCTTGGCTGTGGTCTTGGAGGGCTTCCATTAAACTGATCTTCTTTTTCCCCATCAGCTAGAGTTTTATTAGAAACAGAGAAAGAACTTTCAAATACAGTTCACCCTCAAACAACACAAGTTTGAACTAGGTGGGTCCCTTTATGTTTGAAATACTCAGAATGAAATACACTATTCACAGGACGTGAAACCCACATGTAATACACAGGGCCAAATTTTCCTACAAGCAGGTTTCTCAAGGCAGACTTCAGGATGACTATATTAAAGTATAGGGATATGCTTTTCATCATTTGAAATGTTCATCTTCATTATTTACTGATTATTATTTTCCTTTCTATTGTATTAATACATATTTTGTTAAATAATCTATATTTTAGAATTTCTGACTTTGCACATAGTAAAATGTGTAAACGCTTAGCCATAATCATAGAGAAATGAAGACTAATTGTTGTGGAAAAAAGGAATGTAAATTTGTATAGCTAAAAACTAGAAACTACCCAAATGTCCTTCAGAAAATGATCAATAAACTTCAGAAAGTGATCGATAACTTTCCTTCAGAAAGATAAACTCTTTTACAATAAACTTCTTTTACATATGAAAGTTTTACATTCATACTATTAATATGATTCAGCAATAAAAAGAATAAACTATTGATAAGCAAAACAAAGTGGATGAAATCTCAAGGAAATTATGTTGAATGAAAAAAGTTAATCTTGGGTAGTGCCTATGGCTCAAAGGAGTAGGGTGGTGGCCCCATATACTGGAGGCCGGTTCAAACCCAGTATTTGGGCTCGGCGCCTGTGGCTCAAGCGGCTAAGGCGCCAGCCACATACACCTAAGGTGGCGGGTTCGAATCCCCAGCCCGGCCCCGCCAAACAACAATGGCTACAACCAAAAAATGGCCGGGCGTTGTGGCGGGTGCCTGTAGTCCCAGCTACTTGGGAGGCGGAGGCAGGAGACTCGCTTGAGCCCAGGAGTTGGAGGTTGCTGTGAGCTGTGATGCCACAGCACTCTACCCAGGGGGACAGCTTGAGGCTCCATCTCAAAAAAAAAAAAAAAAACCCCAGTTTTTGGCCGGTTCAAACCCAGCCCCAAGCCAAAAATGCAAAAAAAAAAAAAAGTTAATCTCAGAAAGATACAGCATACCATTTATGTAACTTTTGTAAAATAATTACAGAGATGGTAAAGAGATTAGTGGTTGCCAAAGATTAGAGATGAGTAAGATAAAGGGGTTAACATTAGGAAATTTGATGGAAATGATGCAAAATACTGAAGCATTTTGATTATGGTGGTGGTTACGTAAGGCTACACATGACATAAAAAAGCACCAAGCTTGATACACACACACACACATCTCTAACTGATGAAATCTAAACAAGCTCTACAGATTACACCAATGCCAATTTTCTAGTTTTGATAATGCACTACACAGCTATAAAAGATGTTAACATTGGGGGAAGCTGAAAAGCACACAGGACTTCCCTATATATTTCTTTGCAACCGTCTATGACTTCTATAATTACGCCAAAGTAAAAAGTTAAGTAAGCTGAACAAAATATAAAGTTGCCACTATACATGTCAAGTACTATGATAAGACAAAAATAACAAATATAAGTAAATATACTCTCTGCCCACAAGGAGCTCAATCCAGTAAAAAAGACAAACACAGAAGAAGGAAGAACTAAAAGAAAAATAAAAGTGAAAGACTAACTATGCTTAGCAGGTAAGATATAAGAAAAAATATAAAAGTGTTGTGTGTGACTATCATTAGAGAAAAAGAGCTCATACCACACTCCAGATTAACAGAAATAAAGTTCTTGTATGTACTCACAAAATGCTAGCTGTAAAGTAATTTTTCCCTAATGACCTCAATTATAATTTCAAAATGTAATCCTGGGCTGGGTGCCAGCCACATACACGTAGGCTGGTGGGTTTGAGCCCAGCCTGGGCCTGCTAAACAACGACAACTGCAACCAAAAAATAGCCAGGCACTGGGGCAGGCACCTGTAGTCCCAGCTACTCAGGAGGGTGAGGCAAGAGAATCGCTTAAGCCCAAGTGTTTGACGTTGCTGTGAGCCACAGAACTCTACCGAGGGTGACATAGTGAGACTCTGTCTCAAAACAAACAAAAAAACAACTGTAACCATGAATTTCAATTTCTCTTTTTTTGGACACAGAGCCTCAAGCTATTGTCCTGGGTAGAATGCCATGGCATCACAGCTCACAGCAACCTCCAACTCCTGGGCTCAAGTATTCTCCTGCCTCTGCCTCCCAAGTAGCTGGGACTACAGGTGCCCTCCACAACGCCCGGTTACTTTTTGGTTGCAGCCGTCACTGGTGGGATTCAAACCCACCAGCTCAGGGGTATGTGGCTGGCGCCTTAGCTGCTTGAGCCACAGGCACAGAGCCAGTAACCCTGAATTTCCACTCATTAATTTATTTACTCATTCACTCACAGAGACACAGACAGTCTCACTACACACTGCCTAGACTAGACTCAAACTCCTAGCCGGAACTACAAGTGTGTGACACTGTACCTGGCTCTGTATCTCCTTATTTTGACTCCTTACAATGATTAATGAAGTGAGGAGAAAAGACCCTTGGGAACATAAGCGTAGCTGCCTACCTCATAGAAAGAAAGCCACTAAACTAAAGTGTATAAAAGTTCTATTTTTCTTGGTTTTAGATAATGAACAAAAAGTTCTCAAATGTAGAGAAAAAATCTTCATTAAGATTTATTTACACATCTTAAAAATCTGGGCGGGGCACTGTGGCTCACACCATTAATCTTAGCATTCTGGGAGGCCAAGGAGGGTGGATTGCTTGAGCTCAGGAGTTCAAGAACAGGCTGAGCAAGAGTGAGACCCTGACTCTACTAAAAATAGAAAAACTAGCCAGGCGTGATGGTGGGCACTTGTAGTCCCAGCTACTGGGGAGGCAAGAGGAACACTTGAGCCCAGGGGTTTTCGGTTGCTGTGAGCTATGACGCCATAGCACTCCCACCTGGGGCAACCAAGTGAGACTGTCTCAAAAAAAAAAAAAAAAAATTTAAAATGCATTCTTGAAAAACACTGCCATTTATGGCTCGGTGCCTGTGGCTCAAGTGGCTAAGGCGCCAGCCACATACACCTGAGCTGGTGGGTTCAAATCTAGCCTGGGCCCACCAAACAACAATGATGGCTGCAACCAAAAAACTGCTGGGCATTGCAGCGGGCGCCTGTGGTCCCAGCTACTTGGGAGGCAGAGGCAAAAGACTCACTTGAACCTAGGAGTTGGAGGCTACTGTAAGCTGTGATGCCATGGCACTCTACCCAGGGTGACAGCTTGAGGCTCTGTCTCAAAAAAAAAAAAACCCACTGCCATTTACTAAGTACTTACTCCAAGAATACTTCTCACCCATTCTTCAATTAGTTTAGAGATAATTTTGAGAATAAACCATGAATAGCCACTGAATTATATTGTCATTAACATATTTAATCTCCTCAGATCAATTTTATCTATCTATTTATTTATTTATTTAGAGACAGAATCTCACTTTGTAGTGCCGTGGTGTCATAGCTCTCCCAACAACCTCAAACTCTTGGGCTCAAGCAATCATTCTATATCAGCCTCCTGAGTAGCTGGGACTACAGGTGCCTGCCACAACAACCTGCTATTTTCAGAGATGGGGTCTTGCATTTCCTCAGGCTGGTCTTGAGCCTGTGAGTTCAGGTAATCCACCCTTCTTGGCCTCCCAGAGTGCTAGGATTACAGGCATGAGCCACCCGTACCCGGCTCCTCAGGTCAATTTTAAAAGCTCTCTAGGAAAGTAGAGCAAGAAAATAAATTATAAATACTTCAACATAAAAAAAATTAGTATAGGGGCTCGGTGCCTGTGGCTCAAGTGGCTAAGGCGCCAGCCACATACACCTAAGGTGGCGGGTTCAAATCCAGCCTGGGCCCGCCAAACAACAATGACAGCTGCAACCAAAAAATAGCTAGGAGTTGTGGCGGGCACCTGTGGTCCCAGCTACTTGGGAGGCTGAGGCAGGAGACTCACTTGAGCCCAGGAGTTGGAGGTTGCTATGAGCTCTGATGCCATGGCACTCTACTCAGGGTGACAGCTTGAGGCTCTGTGTCAAAAAAAAAAAAAAAATTATTATAGGAAAGAAAAGGAGACTGACACATACCTTGTCAAGTCTTAAGTTCAAAAGGTAGAAGAGTTCCTTGAATTACCTTTTCTTAATACACTGGACATAAGTTTCACTGGCCAAAGCAAATTTAAAATTCTCACCATGTTTTGTATTCCTTTTCAAACTTGGCTGTGGCTGGGGAGGCGGTGGTGGTGGAGGTGGCGGTGGTGGAGAGTCTTTGTCATGACTTATCACTCTGTCCACTGATCCATATATTGCCAGTGTCAGACAGTTATACCAGCCTCTTAGCACCAGACCATCAGTATTCACCTGGTGTGTAGGGGAGAAAAAGTCTTTCAAATTAATATTTTAATATGCCAGAAGTCAACTGTTATCAAATTAGTTTGTGGCTCAACTGAAGTCTTTAAAAGTATTCTGAAAATGCAAGGTTCAAATCTGTGACATATTCCAAGAGACACAGCTTTTATATGGTTCTCCATAACTACCAGAACTAAACCTGTTCTAAGACTGTATACATCTCCCCAGTCCTCTAAGTTTACACAGGTTCCCAAAAGAAGAAAAATGAGAATAAAATTAGGTGGGAGTTATTGCTAATTAATAAATTAAACCTCAATTGCTACAGGGATTGTGGAAAGAGCAAAAGCAACCACTCTCAAGAAAGATAAAGTTCATAAAACTGCATAGCATTCTTCTTACATGCTCAAATCATATATGCAGGTATATTTTATATACCCACACTGTACTTAAAAAAGAGCCCAGAGGCATTAAATAAATTTCTTTTACAAAGCAACTTTCTCTTAAAAAAATCAAAAACTTTGCCAATGCCATTAAACACAGGTATTTCCTTATAAAATAAAAATAATTTTTGTGCTTTTCAAAGCTAATCTACCTTAACAGCTACATATTCACAACTATGAGAGTTAGAAAAAATAATCTTATTTCCTTTTAATAAATAAGAAAATCAAGAGTATCTGAAGAAGAACCTGCTCAAGAAACCAAGTCCCTGACTTCGAGTTCTGTTTCTACTCCACTGTACTGGGTAAAGATGAAGCTATAAGTGTTACTGGAGCCCCTTCTAGTGGTACAATAAGGCAGCAAGAATTCAATATTCTCTTTGACAGACTATACGGGTAAACTGGCGACCAAAGGAAGGCCTCAAAGGTATATTCAGAGATAGACAGACTCTCAACAGAAATCCCTTTGGAAGGAAGATAAAGAAATAACAATGACAATTTTTACTCTAAACAGGATGCAAAAGATTAGATATCCATGCCCATCCTCAAAATCAAACAGCAAACTATTTAGTCCCATACTAAATCACCATTATTTTTGCATTTCAGATCTTCCATTAGATCAGCGGTTCTCAACCTGTGGGTCATGACCCACAGGAATTGTATTAAAGGGCCATGGCATTAGGAAGGTTGAGAACCACTGCATTAGACACTTCTAGAATGACACTTGCTATATCAAGAAAAATGGCATACTCCTGACAAGAAAGGAGGAATATGAACATGTATTTTTAAAGAAAACTTAAATAAGGCACAATAATGTCTAAAAACAATTTGCCTGCCTGTCACCTTCTCAATTATCTTGATGAACGAAGAAAAAACATAAATGCTCCATCTTTCTAACTCAAGTTTCTTATTAGGGGAAGAAAGAGCTTTATAGATAAAGAACGACATTACACTGTCTTTACTCCATCAGCTTCAGCAAGAGAAATCAGACAAGAAATTATGACTTTCTGCAGCAGCAAAATCAAATAAATTTATATTCTGCATTACTAATTTATTTATCCAAACCTCTGAAGGAAGATAAGAACAAACAACAATTGAAAACTAGCTTCCACAATTACCTTTGAGTTGGGTCTAAAGATGATAGAAGTATTCTCATCATATTCCAGGCTGCCAAAAGAGTAGGAATAAATACACAGGCTCAAACACTGAATGTCACAAATAATGAAGAAATCTTTCTTGCTTCAAATATTTCCATGTAATCAAACGTTACATTTTTGTTTTGATTTAATGAATCACAAAGCTTGGGTTCAATTTACTACCCCCAAAAGGTTATCAAGAAAAAAGAATAAATCAATCACTAAGATTCCAAACTGGTTTGGGCTGCGTACAGATATTGTTTTTTTAAAAGCACCCTAGCTAAATGCAAGTAGTGTAACCTGGTTCTTTGTACTCTCAACAATTCCCCAACAACAAAAAAAAAGGCACCTTAGCTAATTCTAATGTATAGCCAAGGTAGAGAACCACTGTATTACAGTTATACAAAAATGGAGACTACAACCAAAATGTAAGAAAAGAATTTAGTTTCATCAAGTAGGTATTAGCAATACCCTAAAATATTAAAATCTTATCTTTTGATTATCTACATTTCCCTTCATGTAAAAAGGGTTAAATTATGAATATAATATAATAATAAATGAGAGAAGGATCAATAAAAGAATGATGTCCAAGAAACTGTTAATTCCTGACAGGGATAGGTATTTTTCCACTTTTATGGTAACTTAACATTTTTTATTTTATTAATGACTTCTAAGTAAATCCATTTAATGGTCAATTTGTTGGCAGATATAACAACAGTTTCATTAATAATAATGAAAATTATTATTAATAATAGCTAGCATGTATTAAACAATTCAAAAACAGAGTATTAACAAAATTCTAATTTTACAAAATGTGCTACAGAATTTTAAATTACAAAGTAGTATAACATAAAAGGCACATAAAACATTAGTTCACAGCCAGGCATAGTGGCTCACCCCTGTAATCCCAGCACTATGTGAGGCCGCAGAGGGTGTACTGCTTAAGCTCAAGAGTTTGAGATAGTCCCAGCTACTGGGAGGCTGAGGCAAGAGAATCACTTAAGCCCAAGAGTCTGAGGTTACTGTGAGCTGTGATGCCACTGCACTTACTAAGGACGACAAAGTGAGACTGTCTCAAAAAAAAAATTTTTAGTTCACTATGTGCTTTTTATTTATTTTTTATTTTTGAGAAAGAGTCTTACTCTGTCACCCAGTAGAGTACAGTGGCATCATTATAGCTCATTACAACTTCAAACTCCTGGGCTCAAGCAATCCTCCTGCCTCAGCCTCCCAAGAAGCTAGTAAACACCAGCTAATTTTTCTATTTTCAGTAGAGACAGGGTTTCATTTTTGCTCAGACTGGTATCAAACTCCTGAGAGTTTCCTATCTCAACCTCTCAGAGTACTAGGTTTACAGGCATGAGTTGATATGCCTGGCCTGTGTTTACATATTTTTTTTCAAGAATAAAAAGCAATCTTTTCCAAATTAGAAAATTACTATTAAATCGCAAGAAAGCATCATGTGTATAAGAAATACATGCTTAGTAAAACGCAAACAAAAGATGGCCAATGTTTTACACGTTTAAAATTTTATTTTGTAAATATACTGAATAAGTAATTAGGAGTTTGACATTTCTTTAATATTGCCTCGATAAAATTAAACCCTGTATTCTTGGGTCAGCCAGCAGATACATCCTTTTGTTCCACCTTAAAGAATAAAAAGGTTTTGCCTACTAACTCATAAGTTAATGGTGAAAATATCTAGCAGGTACGTACCTTCCCAACCTATCGAAAACTGGGGCACTTGGTTTGCTTACATTGTTGAAGAATAAGTCTAATTGAAATGTGTGTGGAGATGTCTCCCTGTGAATGAAACAAAGTTAAATATCAGTCTTTGTAACAACCAGTCCCTAAATTAAGATAAAAAACAAGTACAAAGTTAAAAGCAATTCTAGAATTAGAATATAATGTTCCTGAGAGTTAAATAACAAAAATAGTTTTAGCTATATTTAGCTATATTTTATGTAATTTTATTCACATCCAATTCTCAACTACACAACTATTATTAAAAATAAAATTTTAATCAATTATCTTTCATCTGCTACTTGGTATCTATCTTAAATATAATTCAAATATTTAATGTATTTTAAAGGCAAATGCTAATTGTTGATACCTAATTGTATAATTCTTTATATCTCTGTTCCTTTTCATTAGCAAAAAGGAATCAGAGGCTAACTGACTTTTAAATTATTTTTTTTAAGACAGGATCTCACTCTGTTGCTCAGGCTGGAGTGCAATGGATAAATCAGGTTCACTGTACCCTCAGGCTTCTGAACCCAAGTGATCCTGACTCAGCCTCCCAAACAGCTAGAACTAAAGACAAGCACCATCATGTACACCTAATTTTTTTAAGAAAAAATTTTTATAGAGATGGGGGTCTCACAATGTTGCTCAGGTTGGTCCTGAACTCTTAGACACAAGCAATTCTTCCACCTCAGCCTCCCAAAGCACTGGGATTATAGGCATAAGCTACCATGCCCAGCCTAAAATTGTACATTATAATGGCAATTTGATATCAACTTAATCCACCTTAATATAAGACTAAAATATAATAATAATCTTAGAATCAGAGCCTTAAATTGTGACTTAAAGCCTAAACTGTAATTTGTATAGTAGCAATTTACACAAATATTTTAAGCTTTTAAAAGTAGATTATATAGTTAAAATTAAATCCTATTTAGGTTAGGCGAGGTGGCTTACACCTATAATCCTAGCACTCTGGGAGGCTGGGGCAGGAGGATCACTTGAGCTCAGGAGTCTGAGACCAGCTTGAACAAGAGTGAGACTTTATCTTTACTAAATATAGAAAAAACTAGCCAGGTATTACAGGTATGTGCCTATATAATCCAGCTACTTGGGAGGGGAGGCTAAGGAAAGAGGATTGCCAGAACCCAGGAGTTTGAAGTTGCTGTAAGCTAGGCTGAATCCATGACATTTTAGCACTCTAGCCTGGGTAACAGAATGAGACTCTCTTTAAAAAAATAATAAATAAAGGCGGTGCCCCTGGCTCAGTGGGTAGGGCACAGGCCCTAGACCCTGAGGGTGGCAGGTTCAGCTAAAAAATATATATATAAAAAATTAAATCCTATTTCATTTTCCTTAGACTAAAATTTTGCTACACTTTATATCATAGCACCTAAGAATTCCTTAGGCTCAACTAAAATCTTGGCTTTAAACACTACATGCTTTGTTCTCGTTCATTTAAATAAAAATCCAAATGGTAAAAAGTATAATGTACAGGCCAGATGTGGTGGCTCTCTAGCACTCTGCGAGGCCATGGCAGGTGGATTGCCCTGAGCTCAGACATTTGGGACCAGCCAGAGCCAGAGTGAGACCCCATCCCTACTAAAAAAAAAAAAAAAAAAAATAGCAAGGCAATGTGGCAGTGCCTGTAGTCCCAGCTAAGAGTTGGAGGTTGCTGTAAGCTATGATGGCACAGCACTCTACCGAGGGCCACAAAGTAAGACTCTGTCTCAATAAAAAAAATAAATAAATAAGCTCTCTTTCCTTAGCTGCCACCAACGTGCTCGGTTCTTCCCAGGAAGCTAAAGCCACATTGGGGTGAGGCCCTCACTTCATCCAGCGACTAACACTACCACCCACCCCCCATCTCAGTACTGGCTTGTGCCAGAGCCTCAGTCTCCCAGCTCACTTGCATTTATTCGGCCCTCATTTTGCATAACAATGAGGTGACTGCCACGGAGGATAAGATCAGTGCCCTCAATAAAGCAGCTGGTGTAAATGTTGAACCTTTTTGGCCTGGCTTGTTTGCAAAGGCCCTGGCCAATGTCAACATTGGGAGCCTCATCTGCAATGCAGGGGCTGGTGGACCTGCACCAGCAGGAGGTCCTGCCCCCTCCACTGCTGCTGCCCCAGCTGAGGAGAAGAAAGTGGAAGTAAAGAAAGAAGAATCTGAGGAATCTGATGACACAAGTTTTGGTCTTTTTGACTAAATCTCTTTTGTAACGTGCTCAATAAAATGTTGAATTCTGGGCTCAGCACTGTAGCTCAAGTGGCTAAAGTGCCAGCCTCATACACGAGAGCTGGCAGGTTTATATCCAGCCCAGGCCTGCCAAACAACAATGACAGCTACAACCAAAAAATGGCCAGGTGTTGTGGCAGGCACCTGTAGTCCCAGCTACTTGGGAAGCTGAGGTAAGAGAATTGCTTAAGCCCAGGAGCTAGAGGTTGGTGTGAGCTGTGATGCCAGGGCACTCTACCCAGGGCAACAGCTTGAGGCTCTGTCTCAAAAAAAAAAAAAAAAAGCATAATGTCCAGAGTAATATCAAAAATATTCCTTCATGCACTTTACACATGACAGAAGTACAAAAGGTACAATCATTCTGAAAGGCAATGTAGCAATAAAATTTAGGTGAATAAAAAAAAGTTTACATCATGCTATAATTTGAATATATCCCTCAAATGTAAAAGTTGGAAACTTAATGCTCAATACAGCAGTATTGGGAGGTGGGGCCTTAATAAGAGGTGATTAGATCATGAGGATGCTCTGCCCTCATGAATGGACTGATGTTATCTGAGCAATGGGTTAGTTAGTGGGTTAGTGAGTGTGACTATGCTTGTTTTTTTTTTTTTTTT